AGAAAATTGTTGCTGATGACGGTAGAAGTGAAGATATATGGAGCAGTTGTAACCGATGGAATGAGAGATAGGGCACAAGACAAGTGGTTATGGGAGGGCTGGGTTCTAGGGTAATGTGGATCTCTTCCCTCACAACACGGCACAGCAATAACACTCGAGAACTTGGCAGTAGATAAGACAACAATGGCAGAGATAAGACCAAGGAAAACATGTACTCTCACATTTATTAAATAATATTATTACATCGGAACATGAAAATGAATGATTCTTGTCTGATAACCAGCGCAGGAATTCATCAGTTATTGTTGGAGTTGTCAATTTCCACGCCACTTGTTCTGTCTCTACACAGATGTAAATGAAGGATTGTAGAGTCGGGTCGTGATACACTGGCTATCATTATAGTAACCACCAGTATATAATACCAAGGTTACAGGGCCAATATTACAGTTGTAAGTGAGCTAATACACATACCATACCTATTGTATAGGAACATTTCTGGAAGTGTGTATTAAAACTCTTGACATAGTGGTTACATGTTGGGACAATTCCAAATAGCTGTGCTTTTCGCTTGCTTTCTTTCTTTAAAGATGTTGAAGTTTCTAGGTTTTTAATTGTTACTTAAAAAGGATATGAAATGCATTCAAGGGTTTAATATCATTTAACAGGGATACCTCCAAATTAAAATTTTGTGAACTGACTGGAAACGGAAAGGAAAAATTGTAATGCATTATAACACATTGTATTTCCTGGAGGAAATTGTCTGCCCCTCAAAGAACATAGACCCTCCCAACTCCATGCACTACAATATCACAATATTCCTTAACCCTGTTGTATGAGATGAATTGTATAATTATTTACATTCCAGTTTTACCTACATGTATACTCAGACATGCTCTACTACTTTATCGTACTACTGAAACTAAGGTAACAAACATTACCCACTTTAGCCTTAACAGCAGCTGAATCTATACAACTCTGTGTTTCCCCTGCAATGTTGGCCCTGTCTTACCCATCCCATCTCCTAAGCAATCAAAGGATTTTCACAGACAAACGTTCCCGACGCTTTCCCTTTCATTAAGATGGTATAAAGCGGTGCTAGACACACCTCCCCGGAGTAGAAAGACACCTTCTCAGGTACGCTTCAAACAAACCACGAAGATCTTACATGCTAGCTGCAGTTTATTGCTACATTACAAAGCAGAAAACGAGGAAATTGCGGCAGTTTCACACGTCAAAGGCTGCGTTTTTGTGCGTGGTAATTGTTACCTTACTGTTAGCTTTACAAGAAATTAATATGTATTCAAATTTGGGAAATTCATTAAACAATATCTGCTTCTATACCTGTACATGAAAAAGATCATCTGAAGTAAATGAAAAAAAAAAGATTATTTAAAAGTAACTGATATGATAATAAAGGCATATTGAGAAGTTGACAAGACTTCATAACAACAAGGATCATCTAAAGACAATATGGTTGATAAAATTGTAAAATTACTAAATTATTTGATAAATTTCAATGAAAAATTTCTTTAATGATAATGAAACAATATTTATATTGAGTTTACAACGCTTTAACAACTCTGCCTGCCTGTGAGCATCAAAGCTATATTTGCCTGTCGTGTAGCCTAGCTTGCACTGGGTATGTAGATTTCAGCGTTGTTGATGTGAGTTGACGTTTAGTCCTCAAAGTCGGCCACGCTCAGACACTGATCTGATCCGTGTCGCTTTGATGTTTTGACTTGGTCTCTGGCAGACAAAGCCAGGGCTTGGGTTGAAATGTCTTCCTCTGATCACTGTGAAGTTATCAGATTATTTGCCTATTGTATAAAAAAACTTGAATTCCTGACAGAGTTTCCTATAGACACAAGGCATTAGGTTACCCAGCGAACCTCGAGAAAATTGTTTGGATGTGGGAGACCCATTGCATAACAATGTTGGTGGGTCTGTTTGGTAGATATGTCCTAGAGTTGGGTATATGTACAGACTACAAAGGCCGACAGGCCACAAAAAATAACTACTGTGAGGTTTATTGCTTCCTACGTTACTTAATAACGAGTGTATGATTTCTTACGAGTCATCCCTTTGATGTTCCATATATATTAACATGGTCTTTCTACACGACAACAGCACTCTTAAATACCCCCGGTTTTGCCTGTGCAGTGACAAGACCGATTGATATCGGGGTCTGTATACATGCACTATGAAGCGTGTGTAGGCTCGGTGTAGTACGGGCTGTTGTGCACACTATCGTAGTGACATACCGCAAGGTAGGAAATAATTAGATAGTCTCTACCTTATTGGGTTCAACAAAATATCAAAGAATATTTCCAAAAACTAATGTTTTTGCTTGTATTAGTAAAAACATCAATGTTACAAGTTTTAACAAGCACAGTGTGACAACAAGACAGAATATGCTTGTCATTGATAAGGGTTAAACACGCAGTACATGTTAAATCTACCCTGTTAAAAATTATTATGATATTTTATTGTGTTGATTGACAGGTTTAACAGACAGTGTATGGTATGTTTAAATCCTTCTTGACCCAGACAGGGCATAGATGTAATAAATGGAAAAAAAATATAAAAAATAATCATAAGCTCTATGACAGGTAAACACTCATTCATGTGAGTGGAGGGAGGGGGGAGCCTTGACAGTAAATACAGGCAATAGTAGCCAGTGTTTGGCAGTAAGACAAAATTTGAGCATTTCTCAAGAGAATAACAAATACAAAGATAAATGATTAATTTTGTTCTCTTGTGAAAAGTACTTGCCACGTGCCCGGTTGAATTCCAAATGTTATGTATTTGAGTGAAGGTTCAGTGTCGGACCCCGATCCCTATTTCATTGAGCACCCTCTAGTGTTAGGTGTTGTACTCAGATAGTCAGGGAAGTATAGACTGATGATGTAATAGAAGGAAAAGTAAACAATGCTGACCATTTCACTGCCTATATTTACCTAGTATTGATTAATTGTGCGTTTATGTACTTTAGTCTTGTTTGACAAAATGTTGGTCAGGTTAACACCCGAAGAAAACCTTTATGCTTACCTGTCAGTTTAAAGATATTTGAAAATGCTAATATTTGTACAACATTAATGAAATTATTACAGTGTATTGGTAGGGCAGTTATCTCCATGACGATAATGAGATCAAAGGTATTCGGACGGGTATATGCTGTGGACAGTACAGGTGTTCACGCTGGACTCTCCATGCCGGACGGTAAACATTCCCTACTTGAGCGGGGCCTTTGTGTACTTTGTGTATGTACCTACTGGTAGTAGATTATAAATAAATCGTAACATCACTTGATAATCACCCAACACCGATCAGCCGTCTTGACCCTCAATTGTACCCACTTGTATAGAAGTGTGTCAGCTGATGACACAGGTAAATATCTTTAATCAGTGCTAGACACAGGTAAATATCTTAAATCAGTGCTAATGATGTTGTTGGTGTTATTTAGACTGTACAGAATGATTAGTTTCTATCATTGTAGTGTCTGTTTAATTCATCATTAAAATTCCTGTGAGGTGGTCAACAATGTAGGGCCAGAGTTCAAGCATTTAAGCTTTAATAACACAACACATTACAACTTTTTGAGATATTTTTTCAATCTTTAGATATGAGCGCAGTCGTGCTCCAAAACGAAACTTAAGGAGTTGATTTGTTTTCCGCAAAGAAAGTCAAAACTAAAATATCTCTGTGGAGCAAAACTGCGCTCCTACTTTATTTTGATGTTGCACACATAAATTTCTGTTGTTTTCGCGAAAATCTCATATGTGCGCCTCAATAAACCACCCCGATTTTATATTCAAGACAATATAATTAAAATCAAAAGTTTTTCCAGAACTATCATGCATCTTTATTATAATTTCAAATCATAGCGCATTTGATCCTTTAACCCTTTCACCCCTAGGTAACTTTGGTAGACTCTACCATCAATATATCTGGATGAGTCCATTGTGGTCCACAGTGGTGAAAGGGTTAAGAAAATATTTATAATGAACTTTTAAAATTGTCAAAAGTACACATTTTCTGATTCTATTTATTTGATACAGATTTATAAGTAATTTTGCAGTGGGCGTACCAGTATGAATGCCAATAACTTTCTCATTGGTATATTTAGAACACTGCTTCAATTATTGAGCTAAAGTATTTGAGATATGTTCTATTTTCTTGATACACAATACAACAAAGCATGCATTATTTCTACCACAAGACATGCTCATCTACAGATACCTTGTAATAACTTCTCATTACCTACGTCAATGGAGGTATATACTGAGAGAGCAAGACACTGTGTTCACACTACAGATTGGTATCTTTTAACTTAATGGTTACCACACCTGAAAATGCTTCCTCGAAGTGAGGTTTATGTGACCATAATTCTAGCCCTTTTCCTGTTGGGAGAGCAACTGACCACACCGCCTTTGAAGCGGTCAGTTTTTATGTCCAGGACCCATCCTATCTCACAAAGAAATGCAAATAATTGGGACTGGACCAGCCAGATCAAATCCGACACCTTAGGGTCTAAGTGACAGTCGTGATTCACACCTGTCCGCAGCTCGTTTAATTACCTGGCCGTGTGGCCATTGTTAGGGTTTGAATTTGCCTGTGTTAGTGAATGTTTGAAGAATTGTTAAAACCCTAGGATGCATTTTACTACACTAGAACACCTTCAGATCCACAGTAAAATGACAATCATTACGGTAAATGTCCTGACATTGTGAACGCATGTTTGATATTTTCATGACTGTTCTTCAACATACATACATTTTCACTTAAAGAAAAGAACAAGAGAATTTTCAAAAGGCCACAGAAAGTTTGTTTAATATATTCAATTTTAACACGGATATGATTTTCAGTATTTGAAAAAAATTGAAACTTGTCATTTGAGAAGGAGATTTACCTAATGGCTGTGAGTTGGCGAGAGGTTTCCTCGTTTACCTGCGTAAACCAATACCCCAGTGTTCTGTTCACTACTGTAAAATTGTTTAATCCACCAAACGTACGATGCACCTTACGATCACGGCACAATCCATCATCACTGATTGAGGGGCCTCCGACCTTGTTAAAATGACAGCAAGGTCACCACCCTAAGTCACTTTTTCTCTGGCAATAGTATCAAGTTGACTTGCCCATTGTGCTTCCAATGTCATGGCATACTTGAACAGACTTAAAGGAAGTGATTGCGTGAAACTCTGGAGAAGCATACAATATGTACGGATTAGGCAATGGAAACAGTCATTATTCTAGTTACGTGTTACAACACTGCACTTGCTCGCAAACTTTACGTGGAAGTTTGTGTGAACACTCAGAGATAACTCTAATGGACTGTATAATTGAAGCGTACTCAAGGAAGTAATGGAAACTCTAAATGTAAGTAAGACATATTGTTTACACTAATGAGATTTCAGGTATTTCAGTTCAGTAAGCTTAACAAACAGACATTATTGTGATGACGCCCCCATTGTTGTAGTCCATGTTTGAAGATTACATTTATGTGTATGATACTAGTGTGAAAGTTCATTTTGACTCAATTTTTAACAATGATTCGCATATCTCAACATTTGCATAGTAAATGTTTGTGGTAGTAAGGTGTTCTGTTCTTGTTGGGTCAATTTCTAAACCATACCCCACACATCTCCAACATTTACGTTGTGTGTTTGTGGTAGTAAGGTGTTTTTGGGGGGGGGTCAAATTTCTCTACATCTCGTAACATTGTGTAATACGGCCCTACTTGAACGTCTTCTTCCCCGTGCCAGAAGATGAAAGGAACTCTAAGTGTCATCTTTTTTCGTCTGATGTGACAGTTTTATCGTTGTTTTAATAACCAGCTAGCAAGCTAAACTACAACTTGGCTTTCCACATCATGGGAATATTAATACTACATAACCGTGTATAACAGAGTGACACTGTGAGATTGGTGTCAAGTGTACGCCTTTATTGATGTTTGATCAGGTCGCAATAGTTCCTGGTAAATCGTCATCTGTACTGGAGTGCAATTTTGTGGGAAAAAAGTGTAAATATCAAGTTGGAAGCAGAACAGTAAGTACGTTTATGTCGGTTTGTCATAGATTATGGGAAGAGTTAGAATAATCTCAAAAAATGAATCGTAATTTACATGTTCCAGGAAACACCATGGTTGATCAATCAGAGTCACTTCTGTATACTAAAATTTAATTCAAGATTTGTTTTTGAGCTTTTATATTAGTTTCAATGGTGACATAAGTCTGAATACATACATGTATTTTTCTGTCCCCATGTGTGTCAACTTGTCTTTGTAACATTGTACTATAGAGACTTCGTCGACTGACACACTGCTGTTGACAGGTATATTGATTCAGTGTTAATGAATAATATATGACTTAAGGGTGTATGCTACCCTCTTCAGATATCCATCACATTCCAAAAAGAGTTCCCCAATTAGGAATTTGTTACTATATTGATGATACATTTGGAAGGTAAATGAAACGATTCATTAAAGATACATCAGGAAGGTAGATAAACTAATTTATGCATTGATTTGTAATTATGAATTATTGGATACTGCTAGTTAAGGTCTCTAAGGGGGACATATATCTGCTGTAGTGTTACTTTTCCAGGAGCTGAGGAGAAGACATTTTTGATAAACTTCTTGCAGACTATATCTACCTGTATATATCAGCCTGAATGTTCACCTTGACTATTTAAGTACTAAGTGATCTATATGAATCAGTATAGCAATGTACCCTAGCTGTATGGATTACATTATGACAGTAAAAGCCATCTTCCTTGGATCTATTTGTCATATTTAAGCTTATTCCTCTGCCTGTCACTTTCCTTGTCTTGTACACCTGATAAATGACTGGATGAACAGGAGTTTATCCGAGACCTTTGGCCTCATCTAGTCTTCTGTATTGACCTGTATCTGTAAGATCTACTTATACACGATAATGTTGCTCGAGGTCACTCTCCTTACTTCACCTCTAATACTTAGATCATTTACTAAGACTTCACATTTGTTGTAGAAATTGGTGGTTGAAATCTTCAGCTAAAATAGTTCTGATCCTCAGAGCTGTGGCCTTCATCTCTGAGAAATACACAGATATTGATATCTGAAGTGTTAGCGTTAAATCTTGATAAGAAACCTCTTCAAAAATCAGGATTATAAAAAGAAAGACAAATTTCTGGTTGGGTTTTGGTTGCTAAATATGGATAAGTAAACACTAAAATCTGTTATGAAATACCATTGGAGTAGACCCAAAGATCAGGGTTTTAGTCCGATATTTTCGCTGTTAAATATGAATAAGAAAAACACCCGCTGAAATCTGTTATGAAATATCACCGGAGTAGATGCAAAGGTGGGGTGCTCGACTGGAGAGGGAATTCTCACCTCGTAAGAAGTGTCGGTGATAGCCACATCAAGTGGCCACCGACATACCGCAGCAGATCAAACGGCTACATATCTCCACGGCCAGGTGTAAACACTGATACTCGTGAGCCTTTGTACGCACTCCTACGTCCCTAGGAAATGTGGAGTACAGACACTATGCCCCGTCCCTTGTAGTGATTCAGGGCCTATAGATCGACCAATCACCTCGTCCAAGGGCAAGATCAAGGAACAAATGCACCAATCATCTTCTAAAATGCCCAAGGAGAGGTCCATTAAAAGTGATGCTGCAACTGCTGCATGCAACCTGTTCTGGGGTAGACAGGTGTGAACTGAGACTGTTGATTGGACATCAAAGATTATGTCGGCGGCTCATATCTTAAGTGGCCTCGGGTCAGAATCTGCCATCATCAACAGAGTTACCTGTGATGGTAGTTTTAATCTGAATCACTTGTGTATAAAGCTGATACGGGGTCCCCTTGTATGTAGTGTAGCTCCTCTTATCCAGTTCCCTTGTAGGTATAGTAGATCTTCTGATCTTCAGGTCTAATGTTGATACTGGAGTTCCTTTGTAGGAATTGTAGCCCCATCCATTTTGTCATCAAGTACAAATATGACATGCACAGTACAGGGAGAAGGTGTGTAAGATAATAGGTTTATTTGCTTTATGGCCATATTTCCTGAACATACTTTGACAGTTATTGTACAACTGCTAATTAACTGACAGTACAACCTGGGGCTAGGACTCCTTACGGTCACCTGGTGCATTTTGGCTGTCTTTGCACAGCTTGTGCAAGTTAATGGCCAGTGTATGAGCTTCTATCATAAACTTGCATGAAGTTGAGTATCCGGATTAGAAAGGAGTCCATATAGGGCGAGCCTAAGCTGGTTTTCCTTGTAAGGAGATGGGGCTTGTGAGGGTCAGGGCTGGGGGTTCCTAGAAAGGGTCCAGCTTGGGGTTCCTTAGGAGGGTCTAAGATAGAGTCTTAGAGAACATGCAGGATGGAGTTCCTAGGGAGCATCCAGACTCCTTTTTCCTAGGGAGAGCCTGGTTATGAAATATTGTAAAATGTAGTTGGTGATTAAACTTGTTTGATTGTAATTTGAATATATATTTAAATTTTAAAATTGCACCAAGTGAAAAGATGAAGCGATGGTTTCGAAAGAAAATATAATTTAAATCAAAGTCACAACTGTGTTTTGAATATAATGAATGAAAGAATCAAGATTAACAAAGTTGATCTGTTGATTCATTCAAAGAGATTTGTTAACCCTATAAGGTGAAAGGCCTTGTGTTGACAAAACAGTTACGTTTTTACCTTGTCTGCTTGTTGTCTCTGTGAGTAAACACTTGTCATCCATATTTGTTTATCTGAAAAGCAGGAGCTCTCCTTATGTGTGTATATAATACAGGTCATTGTGTCACTAGAGATAGTATTGTCCTAGTTTTGACATCAGAGTCTGTTAAAATGTTTACGTTAAATGACTGTTGAAATGTTTTGGTTACGTGACAGGTGTAGTCAGTTACCTGTCAGTCGTGGAATGTAGATTCACGAAATTACTGGTAAACACACGCTGGTCACTAGGTACATACTATTTTATAGTACCATGTTATACCTGTGTCCAGGGGCCTAGTTATATGGGTATCCTTGTATTGGACACTGTTTACAGGTACATGTTATACCTGTGTCCAGGGGCCTAGTTATATGGGTATCCTTGTATTGGACACTGTTTACAGGTACATGTTATACCTGTGTCCAGGGGCCTAGTTATATGGGTATCCTTGTATTGGACACTGTTTACAGGTACATGTTATACCTGTGTCCAGGGGCCTAGTTATATGGGTATCCTTGTATTGGACACTGTTTACAGGTACATGTTATACCTGTGTCCAGGGGCCTAGTTATATGGGTATCCTTGTATTGGACACTGTTTACAGGTACATGTTATACCTGTGTCCAGGGGCCTAGTTATATGGGTATCCTTGTATTGGACACTGTTTACAGGTACATGTTATACCTGTGTCCAGGGGCCTAGTTATATGGGTATCCTTGTATTGGACACTGTTTACAGGTACATGTTATACCTGTGTCCAGGGGCCTAGTTATATGGGTATCCTTGTATTGGACACTGTTTACAGGTACATGTTATACCTGTGTCCAGGGGCCTAGTTATATGGGTATCCTTGTATTGGACACTGTTTACAGGTACATGTTATACCTGTGTCCAGGGGCCTAGTTATATGGGTATCCTTGTATTGGACACTGTTTACAGGTACATGTTATACCTGTGTCCAGGGGCCTAGTTATATGGGTATCCTTGTATTGGACACTGTTTACAGGTACATGTTATACCTGTGTCCAGGGGCCTAGTTATATGGGTATCCTTGTATTGGACACTGTTTACAGGTACATGTTATACCTGTGTCCAGGGGCCTAGTTATATGGGTATCCTTGTATTGGACACTGTTTACAGGTACATGTTATACCTGTGTCCAGGGGCCTAGTTATATGGGTATCCTTGTATTGGACACTGTTTACAGGTACATGTTATACCTGTGTCCAGGGGCCTAGTTATATGGGTATCCTTGTATTGGACACTGTTTACAGGTACATGTTATACCTGTGTCCAGGGGCCTAGTTATATGGGTATCCTTGTATTGGACACTGTTTACAGGTACATGTTATACCTGTGTCCAGGGGCCTAGTTATATGGGTATCCTTGTATTGGACACTGTTTACAGGTACATGTTATACCTGTGTCCAGGGGCCTAGTTATATGGGTATCCTTGTATTGGACACTGTTTACAGGTACATGTTATACCTGTGTCCAGGGGCCTAGTTATATGGGTATCCTTGTATTGGACACTGTTTACAGGTACATGTTATACCTGTGTCCAGGGGCCTAGTTATATGGGTATCCTTGTATTGGACACTGTTTACAGGTACATGTTATACCTGTGTCCAGGGGCCTAGTTATATGGGTATCCTTGTATTGGACACTGTTT